ACATCGCAATCAGCTGTTTTCGTCATATTGCCAGTTGTTTCCTCCTTGCCATCGGCGTCCTTTACGCCAACGTCCTTGTTGGTGGTGTTGACGCTGCTGTTGCTGTTGACGCTGGTGTTGCCGTTGACGCTGCGGTTGCTAAAGAGAGATACAAAAAAGTTCAATTTTATTATTACATTTAAAATAAATAATAATATAATATTATATATACATATGTTTTAAATTAAGTTATTTATATTATTAAATTTACATACACTCTCACCGCGTGCTAGCAATCCCACTAATACTGCCGTTAGAAGATCTTGATTCTGAAATAAAAGCATTAAAAATTTAATATTCATATTTTAAATATTTATTTTTACTTTTTTAAATTTAATTTATAAATTTTTAAATATTTTTTATTGATTTATACTTACCATTATTAAGATTTATGCTTCCTGCGCACAACTTTACTGTACAAAAGATAAACGCAAACTATATCAATGTTCAAATTAGGCAAATGCGTTGTTTGTATTTAGTATACATAAGAACATAAGATATGATATGGCGGTATATGTATGTTATGTTAGCAGTTTACAGACGTAAATCTTTCTTTTTTATATGCAATATATTTTTGATAATTTTAGAAAATCTGTCTACTCATTTTTAAAGATTTATATACCAAAATATTCTAGAATATGTCTATTTTTTAAAAAAATACCGTGCAACAGTGTACCATTCCGTAAAATTTATAATTATTTCAATTTTCATAGTGTCCCCTAACACAGAATATAACCAACAACAAATGCCTGTAACAGAGTTCAATGCATTCGTGAATATGCTGCAAAAGTTGTTTTTGTTAATATCTTTATTGTTTGCTACTCGATTTTGATAATTCTTACATCAATTCATATTAGAAAAATATAAACAATTTAAAAAAATACCGTGCAACATTGTACTACTTTTTATTTTTGTTTCTAATATATATTGAAAAATGTTCGATATGGCGGTATATGTTAGCAGTTTACAGACGAAAATCTTTCTTTTTTATATGCAATATATTTTTGAATTTAATTTAAGGACGTGTGCGAGTTAGGCTAAGTTGATGCTAAACCAAATGGGAAGTTTTTTGGGATTTGTTTCACTGCACACATTTAGCCACTTAGCCCAAAAAAGTGTGCGAGTTACATTTTGACAGCTTATATCAGCTGTGAATATGTTTTGATTTCAGAATTTTGTTTACATATTTTGCAATAGCGAAGCAAATTGATGAAGTATTTTTATTTATGCAATTTTTCGAATTAATTTAATTAAATATTTGTCTTAACATATTGATAAAGAGATTCCTAGAAGAATATCCAAAGGTAATTATGAAATAATTTCGGTAAATAACATAAATTATCAGTTTGATTATTTAGCGCGAGCTTTTATGCCAAAATGGATATTCTTCCGAAATATTTAGAGCTGTTTTGAAAAAGGATAAATCGATCATAAAAAAGTGAAATTCTCTCACCAAATGAAAAAACTTGTTTAGATATTCTCAAAATTCATATGTGTGAAATAAACTTGACCGCTGCATTAATTTGCGTAGAAAAAGTGAGCTTATATCAGGAACTTCTGGTGCAGAAGTTAAAGGCGTTTGTATAGAAGCTGGTATGTACGCATTGCATGGGCGTGGTGTGCATGTTACTCAAGAAGATTATGAAATGACTATCGCTAAAGTTATGCAGATGAATTCAGAGGATTCATGTCTATGGTATTAAGAAATTATGATAGTAAATTTTAAGACTTTTATATATTTATACACCGAATATTATAAAATGATTATTGATTTGTAATTGAATTATTTCTTGGATCTTCACAATTAAAAGTTAAAAACTAAATATAACATTTATGTTTTTTGTATTTGCTAATTTTTTGTGAGAAACGCATAATTATTTTTTTTTTTGTTATTATAATTTTGGTCTTATTACTATATATTTTATTACAGTTGTAGATGATTTTAATTTATATAAAAAATGTTTTGTCTTAATTTTTTTTTAAAACCTCTTGAGTTCCGTTTTCTAAATAAAAAATTTCGTAACATGCCGCAGTACAATAAAAATCTAGGGGATTGTTGACTTTGTCTCGGACTTACTCAGCATCAACTAACCATTGCCACTAAAAACTTTAGAGAAAGTTTCATCGTTCGTAAGAAAACGAGATCAAGTAGGATTCAATAAACCAAAGCACTTATCTCGGCTTTAACAACAAAATGTTTGCAGACATTACATAAATTAGAGCAGTGATTCTCGACTCAAGACATGCTGTAGACCAAAAAAATATTCAATGTAGTTTACAAACAAATTATTAAAAGCATCTAGTGCAAAGAGTAGTACCAATATTTTTGAAACAAATAATATCGTTAAGGCAAAAATTCAATATTTTACATGCCACCAGTGCTAATGATACCCTTATTTTGAAGTTATTTAGGCCACTATTATTTAGAGTTATTGTCACAAAGTAAATTTATATTTAGCCATGTTTATATATAAAAAATTCAGAAAATAATTGTGTTGAATAAATCAAATTTTATTTTATTTATTAATTTTTAAAACCGTATTTACAATCCTTACAAGATCTGAATTAAAAGGCAAGTCAAAAATTATATTTGTTATGAAAACAACAGCATACGAATATCATTATTGTCAGTAACATCCTAACATGTTTGATCATTTCTATCAATTAGTTTGCTATTTGCATTAAATGATAGTAAGGACGTACACAATCAAAGTGACCACCACTAACAGCATAATGTAAAGTAGTCTGTTCTTCATTTGCAAAACTTCCAAGATTGACTTCTTTGACAAAGTAAAAAACTTCTTTTTCATGTTCAGCTTTTTGTAATACATCATTTATCGGTAGCTCAGTGAATATGAACTACCCAACTAAAGGCAGGTTCACATTTCTGTGCACTTTTTAACTTTGGCTGCCAAAGCGGATCAAGATGTTTTACCTTTTCAATATACAAATTGTTTACAAACAATGTTGAACACAAACAAATTCTTCAAATGTCAAAAATTACCAAAACAATATTGCCAAGTCATTGAAAAGAAATTGACTTTGTTTTTTGGAATAAGCCACTATAATAAAATTTTATCAAAGAAATGTTTATAATATTAAATAAAAGTAATTAAAATTTTAGAAAATACAAATATTTACAGAATTTATTGCAAATGTTCATTAAATAATGAAAAATATATGCTAAAAGTGATTATTTTTCGGTTAAAAGTTTCCTAATAGCGATTATTAATTTTTTCAATACAAATAACACAAGACATTTTAATAAAATTATTTTTTATTGTCATTTTCTATATTCTTATACGGCGTTTACATTGGCCGAAAATGGCTCATTTTGGATGAGTCATTTGAAAGTGTTTACATTCGTTGTATTTCATTTTTCTCATTTCAAACAGCTGATTTTTCAACTTGCATGTTGATTTAATTTTTGGTCTGTGCCAAAAAAATGTTACAGGAAGGTTAAATATACCTTCAAACCTTACAATATAAACTGAAAACTTGTTTCTAGATTCGATTTATTTATTTTTGGGAAGTAGAAGTTCCAAAAATTGGTGCATCGTTTTAAAGAAAATGCACCACTAAACATTTGTTTATCTTTTTTTGTAAATATGTCAAAGCAGCTTTTTCAAACTGTCAAAATGCCATGAAGAGCTTTCATTTAGGGTATGTTCAATAGATTCCTTTGCATTTGGAACATATGTGGAATGCATTCGAACGTCATTCATACAGAATGTGAGAAAATTGCTCATTTTGTGCTTGAAATTTTATATGCAAGAATGAGCCATTCGATACTCATTTTCGATTATTGACCAAAATGAGCCATTTTCGGCCAATGTAAACGCCATATTATATTTATTTGAATTCAATTATGAAAATATTATCTTATGAAAATACTAAAATGGCAACCCTGGCGATTTAGTCTCGACTTAGCCACCTCGAAAATATGCTAAGTATCGACACATTACTACATTATCAACACAACTTAGAATTTCCCTCATTTAGAACGCAACTTAGCCTAACTCGCACACGACCTAAATATTGAATTTAAAATATTATTATTATATAAATTAAATTTTATTATCATTCCCTTGCCACAGAATACAATCGCCTATAGATACTTTTAACAGAGTTCTTTAATAAACTTTACAGTGGTGGTGAATTTTTAGCCTTGTACAGGTTTTCACCTTAATATGTTATTAGAATGGTGTTAGTTAACATACATTTTTTTCGTAAAAAATCCACTTTTTTAAACATATATAATTAAAAAACGTTCTACTCGATTTTTGTGAAATTAGTTTTGTTTGAAAGAGTGATCAATTTAGTTTTAGGAACTTTAAGTGTGCAGGTTGTACCTCCTTCGAAATTTAAATAAAATGCACTTATATCGGAACATGTGGAAAATTTATACTTATTTTAATAATATTTTGATGTTTTAGTTGAGATATTGAAATGATTCTTATTTATCCGGTTTTGTGAAAGTTTTTTTTATACTTTTGCGTTTTACATTTTTTAAAAAGCTTGAAATTTGACGAGTTTGAAAATTTGACTTTGACATCAAATTTCTCAAAATTGGTCTTCTCGATTTTTATGATTTTTTTTGCTAATGATAGCCTGATTAATTCTCTATTAGATGTATTTCCGTGCAACATTGTACCTGTTCTAGATTTTTCTTAAAATAAATTTTTTTCATAAAAAAGTCGATTTTGGTCAATTTTTATTTTCCCTATAATTTGAAAAATACGCATCGTATCTCAAATTGGTAAATGCCAATCGAAAGATCTTTCAAAACTCTATAAGAATAATGCCTTTTGTTTTAGTTGAATTCCTTATATTAACGAAAATATCATTTTTTAAAATTTTTTTGAAAATACAGCCCTGCATTTTCCAGCAACGTTGCTAACTTGGCACTAGCTATTTTCTCTGTTTCATTTCTTTATCTTCTTTGGTTGGTAACTTGGCACTAACCGCTTACACATATTATATGATTAAAACTGTACTTCTGGTAACACTAGTGCAAACAATCAACGTTCATTGGATTTATTTATGATCGTTGTGCACGTTTTGCCGTTGATAAGACGTGCGTTTTTGTTTAACTAAAAGCATTTAGAATGTCACAACCACTTGATAATAGAGATGATAGAAAATGTGGCAAACTCTGTGATTCAATATTTGCCAAGGATTCTGTAAAGCGAAAATATAAACCAAAGAAAAAAATTATCAGTGATGAAATATTTAACGACAGTGTAAGAAATCCCAAATATCTTCGTAAACAATTAAAAAATAAAAAGTAGTAAAATTTCAAAACCACTTTAGGAAAAATATTTAAGAGGTTTACCAGTTGATCCCACTGGCGTTGAAACTAAATTCTTTAAGGAAAAACTGAAGCAAAAGGAAATAAATTTAGAGTATACCGCTGAGCAAACTTCACGCACAGATGTATTGCTGTGCGAAGAACAAGGATTTATCAAGGCTGATAATGGGGAAATAACTGCTGAATATAAACAACGTGAAATAGCGAGAAATGTATTTATTTAGATAAATAACACTTCAATTTACATAACTTATTTATTATAATACAGGTAGACATTCAGTCAGCTGCTAAGTACTTTCGACTAAACCTAGATTTTGGACCATATGTATTGCGCTACACAAATAATGGTCGTCATTTATTGCTAGGTGGTCGTCGTGGACATGTTGCTACTTTTGATTGGATAACTAAAAAATTAAACTGTGAAATTAATGTCATGGAGGAAATAGTAGATGTTTCATGGCTACATGTACATACATTGTTTGCATGTGCTCAAAAGGATTGGGTTTATATATATGATAATCAAGGCACTGAAATACATTGCGTTAAACGTTTATACCGTGTTAATCGTATGGAATTTTTACCTTACCACTTTTTACTAGCTACTGCCAATCGTGATGGTTATCTCTCATGGTTAGACGTGTCCATAGGCGAATTAGTAGGCAATTACAACACTTATCTTGGGGAAATACATTTAATGCGCAACAACCCATCGAATGGAGTATTATGCATTGGAGATGGTAAAGGTGTCGTTTCAATGTGGTCACCAAAGGTTCGTAAACCCCTAATAAAACTATTATGTCATCCAACACCTATGACGGCCCTAACAGTAGATTTTAAAGGCAAAAACATTGTAACAGCAGGATTAGACCGCAAAGTTAAAGTTTGGGATATTCGGATTTTAAAATATCCATTAGTTACTTATAATCTGCATTTGCCAGCAAAACAAGTCGAAGTTTCCCAAAAAGATGTACTAGCCTTTTCAATGGTATGTAAAAATGGTGGTAATATATATTCTTATAAATAAAAAATTCTTTAGAGAAATTCATGTGAAATATACAAACATCTAATACTTTCCGAAAATTCAAACACTCCCTATCTACGGGTGCGCTGTGGTGGCTATGTACACAGCATGCGATTTTGTCCATATGAGGATATATTGGGAATTGCTACAGAAAAGGGATTTCAATCTTTATTAACTCCCGGATCAGGCGAACCCAACTTTGATGCTGTTGAGGATAATCCATTCCAGACAAAATCACAACTTAGGGAACATGAAGTGCATTCTATATTAGATAAAATACCAGCTCAACTTATTACATTGGATCCAAATGATATTGTCAATGTTAATATACCCTCATTGCAAGAAAAGATCGACAATAAATTGAAGTTGTTTGATGTAAAATCACAGGTCCATTCAACAAGTACAAAATTGAAAAGAAACGGAAGCAAAAATGTTACCCGCAATAAACAAATAATCAAGGAACAAAACCGTAAGGTAAAAGTACAAAATTAATAGTTTACCAAATGAATATATTCATACACTTTATTTCAGAAATTTACCGAACAAATTCGTAGAACTAAAAAAGAAGCCGTTGAAAAATACAAAGTTATAAATGATTAAATTCATATAAAAATGGAAAGTAAATCATACATTTTAGATCGTTTTAAATCTAATAAAAAAAAATATGAATTTGATAAACCTTTTATTTCATTCTTTAATTTAATCTTAAAATATATTTAAAGTAGTTTACAATGCGCTTATCTGTAATGTGTTCCTCAATTGTGTAAATCAGTTTATTTGACTCCTGTAGCAGTTCAGATTTTTCAACCCAATAAAATAAGTTCATAATTTGTTGTTTGCCATCAAATGCATTTACGGCGTCTACTACTTTAATGTGTTGAATATTTTTAATCACAGGAATTAAAAGTTTTGTCAAAGATTTAATGAAGGTCGTATTTTTCTGTTTTCCTAATATTGTCATCGTTTTTAATCCAGTTTCGTTTATATTTTCCTTCAATAAATGTTGTGGTAAGTATTCCAACAAATTTTCAAAACTCTCTGAAGCATATGATCTAAATAATTCAGCTGTGCTCACAATGTTACCAAATAAAGTTAGAATATATTCTAGCGAGCCATCCTTATCGGAAAACTTATTGTTAATAAATGCTTCAATAGTTACATTTAATAATTTTCGCAGTTGGTACTCATTACTTTCCAGAAGTTTACGACCATTTTGAAACAAATATGCTCGTAACACGTTTTTGATGGATATAGACTTTTCGTGGGAAAGGTTATCCAAATTACTGACGACTAAGATTATATATTTTAGACATATATCAAATTTATCTACTTGTTTACTAGTATTTCCCATATAAAATAGGCACAAAAGATGAGCAATGCACAAATTTTGTTGTAAGCAAAACTGCTCTACTGTTTCGCTCGAGTTTCTATGCTTTTTTTTTGAGTTCGGTTCTGAAATAAATTTTTATAATTTTATGTATAAACATAACTAATAACACATACCTGATATTACAATTTCACAAAAAGGAAATGTGGACTGCAGGAAAGTAAAAGTAAAAAGTTCTGCATACTCTTGAACAAACCAATTACTTAAATTAGTGTTTTCTAAGTTGTTTTCATAAATTTGAATTGAAGTCCAAAGATTTTCAATTATTTCCAAAACAGTTTTCAATGTTAACGCAGCGTCATGCGATAGTATAACTTTTGATGTTGTTTCAATTGAACGTACTTCTGACCAGGTATCTAAAAGCAACGGCATAAAATTTCCGACGTATTTATGGTATATAATATCATGTTCAGGAATTGTAATAGGTGAATAGTTATTGGAAAGCATTAATATTGAGGAAACATCACAAGCATGTTTTGTGTTATGAACACGTAACATAGAGTAACATTGCTGCTTGTTCCTATTATATGATACAATTTTGGTGGGCATCAAACCTTTGAGAGTCAAATTTTCTTTCCTAAATTGTTTAACTGAAGTCTTAAGCATTTTCAATAATCTTTGCAAAACGTTATATCGCCATTTTATTGTGTTTTGCTTCTGACCCATATGCGTGCTTAAAGTTCGTTCAGGGCCATCATCTCTACAAACGATTGAAATCATTTCAAGAAAATTCTGCATTATTTTTTCGAGGTTCACTATAACCAATTTAGGAACATGCTCTAAAATCACATCGAGCATTATCAATGAATCTTCTCGTATGTTTGGCTGTATATGTGACATCCCACAACACAAATATGATGACATTATGTGAAAAAATGGTTCCATTGCTTCCAGTGAAAAAGAATTCAACAAGACACTTAATGTTTTAAAAGACTCTCGCCTAGTTTGTTTATCAATGTCAAGAGAAATTGCAGAAACAGACCTTATTATGATATGTAGTTGTTTCTGAATTTCAAACGGATCATTTATAATTGCTTCTCGAATATTTCGCAACGCATCAATGCGATAATGCTGGCTGCGATTCCTAAGTCCTGCAACAACACTTTTGAAATTAATTCGCCTCTCTCCGTCTACGTACCATAACTCGTTCACTTGCTTTCTTAATGTTATTTTTCGAATTTGAAAGTCAGTTCTGGTTTTGTTCAATCCTTTTTGCAATTTAACTCTCTTAAACTTAACTTTCGTTTTCTCATTTCGTAAATTTTTCTTATATATTCTTTCCATTTTCGTAACAATATCTTTAAAATGAACTCAACAAACTAAAACCAATAATAATAATGTGCGCGAAGAGATAGCGTCGACGATAAGTCCAAGATGGGATTGGAACACTATTCGCAGCATGAAAAATGTAATATACTGTAATTAAGAAAAAATGTATTATTTTATTAAAATTAATGCGGTAAAGATCAACTTTAAGTAGAAAATTGAATTAATTTACTATTTCCATCCATTAATTTTATTTATGTGTAATTGATATAATTTGAATGAAATATGAAAAATAAAAATCAGCCCTAAAAGGTGGGATCACTAATTTATTAATAACTTTTCAACTACAGAGATCATTTTTTTCTTTTATAGCTCATTTGAAAGAGGATAAAATTACCTTTCATATAATGCAAAGTTTTGTAGAATTCAATTTTCTTCAGAACATGGAAAATAAAATTTTTTTAAAACGAAGTTACATTACAAAATTAATTATAACTTTAAAAGCAAAAATACAATTTTTTTTTGCAAATTAGCTTAATTGAAGGAGGAAGTTTCAAGTTTTCATTTGTAGATTTATACCTATAGATTGGTCGATTAACTTAATAGCACTGACAGACGAGCGCACTAAATTATCATTGAGCAGCCTTAAATGATCATTTTAAAAATACCCTGACAGACGTTATAAATTATCACTAAGAAGTTACTGTATCATATATTTTTTGTTGTTGAATAAGCAAATGAAAGAATTTTAAATTCAAAACGGATAAGCAAGAAAAATTAATGAAACTTGTTTTAATTAAATATAAAATATATAAAAAAAATATAATATATAAAAAAATATATCGAGTATTTACATTTACTAATGTTTCCTTATATGTTTTGTTTTCATTTTGACAACCAAATAGCTTGAAATTCGTTCCATTTTTTATTTCGTTTCGCTTGCATATGCAGCATTACCATTTCTAAAAACCTAAATGATGAATAAATTGGGTTAAATTCGGTCATTTAAAGACCATAAATGTTCATTTAAAACTGCTATATGAGCAAATAAATTATAATTTATCCCCTTAATGATAATTTAGCTCCCGTTTGTCAATGCTATAAAACTTTTGTGGGAGCGATTTTTTTGTGAATAAAATACTGTAGTCCCCAGTACGTCAAGCTGTGCAACGGGACTTTTTTTAACCGTAATATTTTTAAAGTATTTCCAACCAAATGTAATACATTTTTTGTGTAATTCTGGACGTGCAACGATAAATAAGTAATTTCTTAAAAAATAGGAAAACGCACTACAATTAAGCACAGTAAATTGGTGCTAACCCATTTTAAGGACGGTCAACCTCAGCGATAAAGTGCGGAACTTATTAATTTGTGCCGCTCCACTGTGCAGAGCATCATAAACCGCTTTATGCATTAAATAAACCGAAGTGCACCTGTTATGTGGATTTATTTTACATATTTGTCAAATTAAGTTTTGTCTTACTTTGTATCAAGACAAATAAAAGACAAAGCGCAATATCACAGTTTTTGTTTAGGAATTTGTCCTTTTTTTTTTTTTTTTTTTTTTTCCATTAGAGGTGGAATCTTCTAAAGATGCTGTAAAAGCATGCCCGATTCATACTGTTCGCTACCACTCTTTCTCAAGTTTACGCAGGTACGATGCTCTTGCATATGCCAAACTTGCGACACAGTACGCCTACGGACTAAACCTTAACCCCTATAAATAACACTGCCCTTTAGAAAACGTCCCGCGGGACCACCAGCTAGGTATTACTTCGCTAGGACAGGGCGAGCACTAACGCTCTATTTCTCAATTATCATTTACTCTCATTTGGTGTTGTCGTTCATCTCGTCGCAGTTGTTGCATGATTGCTGTAATTATATGATTAACTTGTTCCCAGGCATCTTTAGAGGACAACATGTATTGTACGACTCTATGACATGTAACATGGTTACCCATTAATCTTTCTAATGCTTCTCTAGCACGTGTAAAACGTATACAAGTTGTCAGTATGTGCTCAACGCTTTCTACCACTTTACCACAATGCAAACAAAAGGGGTCATCAGCATGTTTATATTTGAAGAAATATTCTCGGAAACAACCATGCCCTGTGAGAAACTGTGTAACATAGTAATTAGGTTCACCATATTTCCTTGAGGTCCAGGCAGCAATTGATGGAATAAGATTGTATGTCCATCTTCCTTTTGTTGATGTAATCCACCGTTGTTGCCACTGTACGTATATTTGACTTCGTACCTCATCTTTGTAATTTCGGCTAAGACACTCTTGTGATTTGAGATCTCTCAGAGCTGCAGCTTCTTTAGCCTGTAGGTCTATTGGTATTCGTCCAGCAAGGACGTTTATAGCTACTTCGGAGATTGTACGAAACGCGCAGCATACCCTTAATGATGCTAATCTATGAGCTGACACCAAAGATCTTGTATATGATAAACGGAAGGCTGCGGGATACCATATTGGTGCGCCATACATCATTACTGAAGTCGACACTGATGCCAGTAGTCTTCGACCTGCATATCTTGGACCACCAATGTTTGGCATTAATCTTGCAACTGCTGCACCGATTCTAATTGCTTTGTCACCAGCAGACTTCAGATGTTCCTTGAAGTTAAGCCTTTGATCTATTTTGACACCCAGATAATTAATTACCGAGCTTGATTTGATAGAAAGCTCGCCAACATGTATATCAATAAATTCTATTCTTTTTCTACTACTTAGAAGAACTGCTTCGGTTTTGTGCTCTGATAATTCCAGGCCCATTGACTCAAGCCAGACTTTGACCACTACGATGGTGCTATCACATTTCATTACAAGCTCGTTGATGGTTTTTGCAACCGCTACAATTGCAATATCATCAGCCTAACCAATTAACTGCACTCCAGCTGGTTTTTCTACATTAAATACGCCATCATGCATTACGTTCCAGAGAATGGGGCCTAAAACTGAGCCTTGTGGAACTCCTGCTGACACTAAATATGTCTTCACACCGTCGTTTGTGTCATACATTAGAATGCGGTCGTTGAAATAGCTTATGATCATTCTAAGTAGATATGCCGGTATTTCCAGTTTTGCTAGTGCTTCTATTGTTGCGTTCCAGTCCGCTGAATTGAAAGCATTTTTGATATCCAGCGTGATTATAGCACAGTATTCTTTGCTGCCGCCTCTCCATCTTTTTCCATCCAGCGCATTTTGGGCTATATTATGCACTTTTGCTATAGCATTTATAGTACTCTGGCCTTTCCTGAAACCATGTTGCCATATTGACAGGCCATTTGGTCCTTCCGTGTACTGTTCCAATCTGGTAGCAATAAGTTTTTCAAAAAGCTTTCCAGTAGTATCCAGCATGCACAACGGTCGGTAAGATGACGGCTCATGTAAGTGCTTCCCTTTTTTAGGGATAAGGACTAGTCGTTGTACTTTCCACGGTTTTGGAAACACGCCTTCTACTAGACACAATGAGAATACTTCCGCAAACAGTTCTGGCCTTCTATATACGATTTGTTTAAGCGCGCCATTTGGGATACCATCAACGCCAGGTGCTTTCGTATCCTTAATGATTTTTGCAGCTTCAAGAACTTCGCTTGGAGTTATTAAATTAACTTGGACGTCGTCATCGGTCAGTATGTGTGTTATCCCAGAGCCTTGTGGGAACAAGTTGCGTACGATCTCTTCTAAGAAACGAAAATTAGTAGGAGCTGATGGTGAAGTTCCCTTCATTATCTTTTTGATAGTTTGGTATGCTTTTCCCCAGGGATTAGTTGACAGTTCATCTAGCAAGGTGTTGTACAACCGCTTTTTGCTTTGTAAAATAGAATTACGGAGCTCTTTCCGCTTTTCCTTATAATGCCAGTTAAGTTGCTCAAAATTGTTATGCCCTCTTGCTCGTTGTTGAACTCTGCGTAATTTGTGACATTCTGTCCGCAGGTTTCCAATTTCTTCATTCCACCAAGGTGCAGGTCTATGATGTTTTCTTTCATTTCTTCGAGGCATTGATGCATCACAGATGTTTTTAAGTGATTGCATTAGGCTTGCAGCCTTACTATTTGCGAAACTGCCAGTTAGAATTATTTCATCAGCAAGAAGGTCAACCATTGCTTTATCTAATTTACTAGTATTCCATTTAATTGCTTGTGCTTTCCTTGTAAGTTCATGTTTTCGACTTATACGGTCTTGTGTTATTTCAAATATAATCAATTTATGATCACTAGCTGTGTACACATCTGCCACTTTCCATAGACTGTTTTTACAAATACTTCTACTTCCAAATGTAAGATCAATGGTTGATGTGAAACGGCCATTATCAAAAGTATAGCTAATGCCATCGTTAAGCAGGAAAATATCTAGTGAAGCAAAAGCCTCCAAGAGAGCAAAACCTCTTCTATTTGTACATCTGCTGCCCCAGGAAGTTGACCATGCATTAAAGTCCCCTGCTATTACTAATGGCGTTTTGTGTTTTGCATTCTCTACGAGGTGATCAAGCATAGTATTGAAGTCCTCTATGGTGTTGTTAGGTGAAACGTAGCAGCTGTAAAAATGTATACCATCTATTTTTGCGTATACGAAGCCATTATGCTGGTTGTTCTCAATAATTTCATAGCTTTTTTGGCCATAGATGTGTATTGCCGCTTTACCGCTCAGATCTCTGCACCACCTACCATCCCAGTCTGGGACGTTAAACGGTTCTGAAATTAAGAGAACTTCAGCTGTTAGATCATTTGCTGTTAACATCATTAGGTCTTGCGCAACTTCACAGTGGTTTAAGTTGATTTGAAGACACTTAACCATGTATATGTAATTTCCTACAAGCGGCTTGATAGACTGGACAGATTTTATTTAACATGTCATGATTGTTATTATCGGCAGGACATAGCAGACACCTGGGTGTCTTGTCGCAAGATTTGGCTTTATCACCTGTATTACCACACCTAAAGCACGCTCCTGCTCGATTGGTATCATTTTTGCAGTATTTTGAAACGTGTCCAAATTCTAGACATTTATAGCATCGAGTTGGTTGTAGGAACTCTCTAATTCTACATACTACCCAGCCAATCCGAATGCGCCCAGCATTTATTAGAATTTTAGCGTCGCGAGTGGGAAGAACGATTCTCGCATTTTGTGTCCCGTACCGTGA